CTAGGAGTAGATGAGTGCCCCAGGCATGCCTAGCTGACAGCATCACTACTGATGGCCTGAGACAGACACAAAACACTCACTATTGTTACAATGTCAATCCCCCCCCCCAATTGACCTATAGATTCAACATATTCCCAATAAAAAAAAATCTCAGCAGGCTTTTTTGGTAGAAATTGTTATGTTGGTTCTAATATACAGAAATGAAAAGAGCACAGAATAGCCAAGATAATTATGAAAAAGAAGAAAAAAAATTGGAGGGCTTCAACTATCTGATTTTAAGACGTAGTATAAAAAGCTTTTATAATCAAAACACTGCAGTTTTCAATGAACAAAACAGAGACCAGAAATAGACCCAAAAACATACAGCTAAAATTTTTCAATACAACTATCAAGGCAATTGGATAGGATAATCTTTTCAGCAAATGACTCTGGAACAATTGGACATCTATATGCAAAACCCTGTAAAAAACTTTACACCATGTATAAAAATTTACTCAAAATGGGTCACAGATCAGAGATACCTGACTGGCTCAGTCAGAAGAGCATATGACTCTTGATCTCAGGATCATGAGTTCAAGCCCCATGTTAGCCATGGAGTATACTTTAAAAAAAAAAGGAGGGGGGGATCACAGATCTAAATGTATGAGTTAAAACTATGGAATATGTACAACTGCCCTCTTCAATACAGTAGCATGTGGCTACTGAGCACTTGAAATGTGGCTTCTATAGATTTAGATGTGTTTTAAGTATAAAATACACGTCAAATTTTGAAGACTGAGTACCAAAAAAAAGATGAGAAGTATTTCATCACTGAATTTTTCTATCACTTAGATGTTGAAATGGTGTTATTTAAAGATAAAGATACATCTATCATATTATTAGAATTAAGTTCACTTTTATAAGAAAATTTGGCTGCTAAAAAATTTTAAATTACATATGCATCTTACATGATATTTATTTAATGGTGCTGTCCTAGGAGAAAGTCTTATTGAACTTGCAAAGTTTTAAATAGGGCATGAGAATAAATGAACTACAAGAGAAAAAAAATTATAAACTAGACTCTTCAAAATGAAAAACTTTTGGTTTTTATTTTATTTATTTATTTATTTATTTATTTTTTTTTTTTAAAGATTTTATTTCTTTTACTTGACAGAGATTACAAGTAGGCAGAGAGGCAGGCAGAGAGAGAGAGGAGGAAGCAGGCTCCCTGCTGAGCAGAGAGTCTGATGTGGGGCTCGATCCCAGGACCCTGGGATCATGACCTGAGCCGAAAGCAGAGGCTTTAACCCACTGAGCCACCCAGGTGCCCCAACTTTTGGTTTTTAAAAGCTACTATTAAGAAAGTAAAGGTATGGGATGCCTGGGTGGCTCAGTCATTAGGCATCTGCCTTCAGCTCAGGTCATGATCCTATAGTAGGGTAAAGCCCCGCACAGGGCTCCCTGCTCAACAGGAAACCTGCTTTTCCCTCTCCCACTCCCCCTGCTTATATCCCCCCCTCCTCTGTCAAATAAAATCTTAAAAAAAATGAAGGGACAAGAGAGGTGGGTAGGGGGTGGGCTACATGGGTGATGGGGATTAAGGAGGGCACTTGTTATGATGGGCACTAGTCTTATAAGTAAGTGATGAATCACTAAGTTCTACTCCTGAAACCAATATTACACTGTATGTTAACTAACTAGAATTTAAATAAAAGTTTGGAAAAAAATAAAAAGAAAAAAGAAAAGAAAATGGGGCACCTGGGTGGCTTAGTTGGTTAAGAGTCTGCCTCCAGCTCAGGTCATTTTCCTGGGGTCCTGGAATCAAGCCCTGCATCAGGCTCCCTGCTCAGCGGGGAGTCTGTTTCTCCCTCTGCCCCTCCCTCTGCTCCTGCTCTCTCTCGAGCTCATGCTTTCTCTTTCTCTCTCAAATAAAAAAGAATCTTTTAAAAATTTTTAAAAAAGAGAAAAGAAGAAACAAACCATAGCTATAGCCACAGATTGGAAGAAATATTTGCCAATCATATGTCTGATAAATGATTTGTAGTCAGAGCACATAAAGAACTCTTACAATTCAATAATAAGAAGCCAAATTACATAATTGTAAATACGGCAAAAGATCTGCAGCAATTTCATCAAAAAAACATGTGGATGGCAAGCAGCCACAGGAAAAAGATGCTCAACATCATTAGACGTTAGGCAAATGCAAATGAAAACCAAAATGAATTACCACTTCCTACTCACTAGAATGGCTGAAATTAAAATGACTGTTGATACTAAACGTTGACGAGGGTGCAGAACAACTGGAATTCTAGCACATTGCTAGGGAAATGCAAAATGGTAGAGCCATTTTTAAAAACAGCTTGGCGGTTTGTTAGCCATACATTTCCCATATGACTCAGCAATTCCACAAAAACATCCGTCCACACAAAGACTTGTGTAAGAATGTTCAATGCAGCTATATTCATAATTGCCCCAAACTGGAAAGACTTCAAATGTCCCTCAACTGATGAGTGGAAAAACAAATTACGGTCCATCCATACAGTGAAATAGTACTCAGCAATAAAAAGGAACTATCCACCGACACATACGACATGAAAAAAATCTCAAAAACATCATGCTAAGAGAAAGAAGTCAGACACAAAAGACTACATGCGCTACGATTTCATTTATATGAAATTCTAGAAAAGGAATTTATGTAGTGTTAAAAACAAATCAGTAGTTTCCAAGAGTTAAGGGGTGGAGCAGTGGACTGACTATGAGGGAACTTCTTGGGGTGATGGAAATGCCCTATACTATGATTATATGATTGTAGGGATGGCTATAAAACTCCAGAATTGTATACTTGGTGATTTTATGTAAAATATACTGTAACACGGGGCGCCTGGGTGGCTCAGTGGGTTAATGCCTCTGCCTTTGGCTCAGGTCATGATCTCAGGGTCCTGGGGTCGAGCCCCGCATTGGGCTCTCTGCTTGGCGGGAGGTCTGCTTCCCCCTCTCTCTCTCTGCCTGCCTCTCTGCCTACTTGTGATCTCTGTCTGTCAAATAAATAAATGAAATCTATCTATCTACCTATATGTGTGTGTGTGTATGTATGTATATATATAAAATATACTATAACAAAGCTGACCAAAACGAACAACAACATAAAACAGTAGTTTCGGACTCCCAAGAACTTGCACTTCTAACAATTCCTATCAAATTCCCAGATGATGCTGATGTTGCTGTTCCTGGGACCTCACTTGGAGACCCCCTGTCTAGAGACACTGGCGAAAGGGGTCTAGAATAAGCTGAGATCATCCTAATTCTTGCCCTTTCTGTGCCACCACCTAGCGTTCCTATCTTCAAGAGAACAGACACTCCAGAAAACACCACAGCTTCTCATACCTCCTGGCACACATCCTGAAGGCCTGGGACTTTCAGAATGAGCTAGGGGTCCTTTGGGAGTAAATTAAAGCATCTCAGATTCAGAAGCAAATTCGACCTGTCAACATGTCCCATTCTTGCAACTCAGCCTGACATTCTTAACAGACCAGGACACCTGCCCTGGAACACAGCTCACACCCACAGGCTGTTGCTCATACTGTTCCTTTGTCCTAAAAGACCTTTCCCTGACCTCAACTGCTGAAGCTGCACTTATGCTAAGCCCAGCCCAAAATGGTATTTTCCCCACAAAACCATATGGAATACTTCCTTTCCTACATTCCAACACTGACATTCATGTGTTCTTTTTTTTTTTTTTTTAAGATTTTATTTATTTGTCAGAGACAGAAAGAGAGAAATTGAGAGGACAGACAGGGGGAGTGGCAGGCTGAGGGAGAAGCAGACTCCCTGCTGAGCAAGAAGCCTGATGCGGGGCTCGATCCCAGGACCCTGAGATCATGACCCTAGCCTCGAAGGCAGAGGCTTAACCCACTGAGCCACTCAGGCGCCCCGAGAATCACACCAATTTCTAACTGAAGAAATTATTAACAGTAGGGGTACCTAGGAAACAAAGGCATTTAGAGATGTCACTCATAGTTTTTTTGTTAGTCCTTTTTCTCTGAGAGCTTCTCTCTCTCCTTCTCTGATAATAAGCCTGAATTAGTCCTTGTAGGGCTGGTTGGGCCAACTCCACCCACTGGCCCTAGGGGTGGGCTCAAGACTTAGGTTTGACCAATCTGAGTCTTTTCTCCTCCAAACCCCAGCTCTGGGTTCATGATGGAAACATTACCCAACCCAAACCAACCCAGGTGTCTTGTCAGTGTTCTTGCCAGAACCACAGGCAGAGAAGTTTACACCTTTAATTACATATAATTAAAGACGTAAGCATAGTAGATAAGGAAAATTATTACACAATACTCACGATGACCCAGGCCACTGTGTGGTGATCCTTACAGCACCCAAAAATAACATGAGTGAAAGGCACAAAGGAAACATTAAAGACAACTTAGATGGGGCGCCTAGGTGGCTCAGTGGGTTAAGCCTCTGCCTTCCGCTCAGGTCATGATCTCGGGGTCCTGGGATCGAGCCCTGAATCGGACTTTCTGTTTGGCGGGAAGTCTGCTTCCTCCTCTCTCTCTGCCTGCCTCTCTGCCTACTTGTGATCTCTCTCTGTGTTAAATAAATAAATAAAATCTTAAAAAAAAAAAAAAGACAATTTAGAAATCTGGTCAATCACTGAAGACTGAAGACCCTGGCTTATGCTGGATTAGCTAAGAGGCCACCTTTGTTCCAAACATAGAAGGTAAAGGGCACAACCTTTAGACCTTCTCCAAGCTTTAGCACCAATGGATAAAGCTTACTCAAGGGTTAGAAGAGAATGATGTCCAAAAGAACAAATATCAGAAACCAGCAAAAGGGAAATGGAGGCAAGAGATGTGCACGTGCCCACGAGATGAACACCAATGGGCTTCAGAAGACTCTGTAGGAAGTGTGCCCCAGCAGCTGGCAACATGAGCTCCCACCAAAGTGAGAGGACAAGGGATATATCCGTCCTTCAGGAGGTGATTCTCAGGGAAGGAGCTGCACAGGGACCTGCTCACCTGCGTGATTATGCGCTCCCCATCCTTATAGACCTTCTCTCCTATTACATCCACAATCTTCATTCGTTCTGACACCTGAAACAATGGACATATCCATAAACTACAAGGAAAAGACCTCAATTGAAAATCACAATATCTAAACACCACAGAAATGGGTTAGAATAATCCAATATGAAAATTTAATAGTTTTAAATCTTAAATCTCCATAAACAGACTCTTATTCAAATACACTTTACCTCTAGTGATTTAAGGAGGGGCACAGACTCAATAAATGATTCAAACATCCTTCTCTTTTTTGCATTGTTTTTCACTATGATTCTTCTAAAAGTCACACGGTCCTACAAGAAAGAACATGAAAATTCTGGTAAATGCCTCTGTAAGAAAACACCTATGGTTTAATTAACTGGATGATAGCAAAAATTAGAGGACTATGGAATGTACTGGGCCAAGTGAGTGTTTAATGACATTTTAATCTGAGTCACCACTGGAAGAGAAAGACTGGTAGCCTGTGTGAGACAGATGCCCACTGTGTAATTGCTCGCTATCCAGTATTCCACGAGTGCCACCTATGGGTCATGAACAGAATACAAAATACAAAACTCCCAAACACTTGCAAGCTCACGGTCACTGTTCAATGTGAAAAGATGCATCTTTGAAAAAAAGAAAGAAAACAATCAAAGGGCTCTTGCCCTCAACAGGGAGACAATACAAAATATATGGGAATAAAAAAATCTACAGACAGCATATGAAATGTCCTAGGTGAACGATTAAGACAAGAAGAGTAAGTGCCACAAGAATTCTGAGGAGGGAGGGAGAGAGATCACAGTAGGCTGGAGTGATCAAGTATATTTTTGTTGCAAAAATATAAATTTTGGTGGGCCGCCTGGGTGGCTCAGTTGATTAAGCATCCAACTCTTAATCTCAGCTCAGGTCTTGATCTCAGGGTCATGAGTTCAAGCCCTAAGAAAACAAACAAATATTATATATATAAATTATATATAAACATATACATTTTTAAAATTTTAATATAGTTTTAAAAAAATATAAATTTGCAGGGACCTGAAGGAGGGGGAGAATTTAAGTTAATGGAAAGAGAGGGGAAGAAACTCAAGGTGGAAGGTGGGAATGTGAAAGGTCCCTTGACCCCAGCAAGCCATGGATTCAGATCAGGAGAGAGCTGACCACAGCTACAGTGAGGCTCCTCTCAAACATGTGTACATATGTGTGGAGAGGGACACACAGCCAGGAGAATGTTAATTGCTTAGTTTTAGGTATCTTGTATGTAAGTTAATTGTATGTTTTGTCCACCTCAGGCTGTCAGGAGTGGAAAGATGTTTTGTTTTTTTTTTTCCTTTGAAAGCACATAATGAAATGCTCAAGGCTGGCTGAATGAAACATAGCACAGTAAGGACATGTTTAACCATAAATTTGCTATTTTAGTATTCTCTGTGATGGGGTGGTGGTGGGGTAGAGAAATCATATAGAAGACCAGTGAGTTAAGTTGTCCAAATGGGTTTCACTGGCTCATATTCCATTACTTCCAGAGTCCCCAACCCCTAGCCCATACCATGTTTCATCTACCTTATAAGAAAAGTCACTTAACTACATACCATACTCCTACCATGAGCTTCGGCAGACTCCAGCCCTCTGTCTAAACTGCTGGACAGATCATCTGCTCTTCAGCACATTTCTTCTCCATCTGTCTGCTTGAGAAGAGCCATTCGATCTCTGCTTGCTCTAATGGGCTGCATGATTTACCACCAATTTTTTAAAGTCCAAGGTTAGGGATATATCTTTTTAAATGTTACTGTTATACTTTGGAATATTATTCCATTATCCTTAGAATTCAATTTCTACATGTTCTCTGGGCCAATTTAGGCATGAGTGCTATGGAAAGAGGACAATCAAGAATGAGAAAACGGGAATTATAAAGTTCTCTTCCTTCTATTTGAGTAGGCACTGTCAAAAAATATTTTAAAAATCCCCTTACAGTGTCACAAAGATTGCTACAAATGCAACAGCAAACTATTTCTAGCCGACGAGAAAACAACTGGTATCTCTCAAAGTGACTTATTCATTCACATTCCAACCCCTTCTGTGCACACTTCCACCCTACCCAGAGCTCTCACGCTGTGCGCGGCCAGCTCCCACGGCTGTGGAGGGCATGCAAGAGCTCCAGACACTAACCTGGCTTTCAGGGAGCTTCCAGTGGAGCTGTGAAGAGGAAACTCCCACTGTGAGAGAATGGCTCCCTCAGGCAGCACGTGTTCAGAGTCCAGCATGCAAGTTCAAAAGAGAAAAGGATACTACGCTTTCCTGCGATTGCAAGTGTTTCCTCAGTTTCTACTGATTTTCACTTTCGCAAGAGAGAATGGGAGCAGAGACTGAGTGTAATGGTCATGGTGGCGTTGGCCCCCAGGAAGAGAAGGAATGTAGAATCCAACTGGAGAAATTCAAGTGACAACTCCAAGTCCTCCCTACTTTGGCCTCCGAAGGCATTTCCAAGGCCTTGGAAGGTACAAGAAGTCAGGCTGAGGAGGACCCTCCACGAGTTACTGTCTTGGACGTGGTACTAAAGCTTCTGAGAGGGTCTGGGCTATAAAGCACATGAACAAAGCAGGAAAAAGCAGAGGTCAGAAGGGCGTCTTGACAGGATGCTTAAGACAGTAGGGAAAGGAAGAAAAGACTGCAAAGGATGGGTTAGGAAGCAGAAACACAAGGCAGGGATCTCAGGAGAGGAGCCTTCTGGAAGAGAATGGCGATAAGCAGTACCGTAACCACAGAGAGCACGTGTCGTCATTCTGTAAGCCCCTACCCTTCGCCAGACCCCGAGGGAGCTGCCTCTTATGTCTATTGAATTCTCATACCCCAACTATGGGGCAGATGGCTTCAGTCCAATTTGTTAAAAAACAATTCTATTGTGACTGCCTCTTTGACTTAAAGACTTTTTTTTTTTAAGATTTTATTTATTTATTTGACAGAGATCACAAGTAGGCAGAGAAGCAGGCAGAGAGAGAGAGGAGGAAGCAGACTCCCTGCTGAGCAGAGAACCCTATGCAGGGCTCGATCCCAGGACCCTGGGATCATGACCTGAGCTGAAGGCAGAGGCTTTTTTTTTTTTTTCCTTTACGAAATACTAATATCTTTATTCTGACATAAAGCAGTATTTTATACATTAATTCAATTTTACAGAAAAAGCATTTTACGTACAATTGTAAAGAAACTGTTGGACAGATAGCTCCAATGTAAAAATGGATCGTATTTTAAAAGTTCATTGAGTTTGATATATTGGAAAAATATTTTCTTTGTAGAAAATAGTAAAAACCACACTTCCCAGGCTAGCCTAACAAGCCCATTAAAATCAAGTAATAGTGGGATTATAGATTTATACGTATGATGTGGATTCCAGGATCCAGGAGAAAGTTCAGCTTCACTTAATGAAACATCCATGTATTCTTTGTATGAAGTGAAATTCTCATGAATCTTCCCCTTACTCTCGATTCCTGCCTGAATATTTTTCTGTAGGCTAATCCATAATCCACATCAAGGTTTTAACTGCTCCTTCCTAAAAGACAGGTACCATACCTTATCTGCTTGATAAGGTATCCATTCCTATCCAAACTGAAATATTTTGGTTGTTATTAAAATATGCTCAGTACTTGAGCAAAACTGGAATCTAATAAATTATCATCTACACAGCATGTGAGTGGTCAGTCATCAACTTCTCCTGAATCCCTGTGGCTTGATAGGAAGCCATGAGGAGTGGGAGGAAAAAGTGGTAAAATGGACAAGTTGATCAAGAAAATAAAGCCAAGAGAATTTCTGAAAACAGAGAAACATCCCAGGACTGAGGGACATAACTGAAGTTCCGAGTAAGGACACACCACCTCAAGCATCAGAGCGCTGAGCTGGCTATTGAATGCCTTACTGCAAAGGTCACACAGACTTAGGTTAAAAAAAAAAAACGATCCAGTGAGAGAAACCAGGGCTTAAAAAGATTTCAGTTGTTCAAATGTAATCAAATGAAAACAGAACCAGCCATGTATTTTAACTTCTATCAGCTTACTCCCTGAGATTCTCAGTACAGAATTTCTAGGAATTAAGGCAAGAAAACAATGCCATTCTTGAGCTCCTGCACTGTGCAGAAGTTTGGAGGAAGTAGTATTTGAGAACTCGGAGTTACATGGCAAGGGGCTGTATTAAGTTCTTCAGTTCCCTCAAAGCAACAACTTAAAATAACCATATAGAGATTGTCATAAAAGGAAGTCTCCAAGCAGCTAAAACCTTTCAATGGAATAGCAGTCTTACAGAAACAGGTCCTATACAGTGGTTATAGGAACTAGGCCTGAAGGCAGAGGCTTTAACGCTCTGAGCCACCCAGGCATCCCTGACTTAAAGATTCTTTAGGAATGTGCTACTTAATTTCCAAGTGTTTGGAGATTTTCCTATTACCTCTCTGTTACTGATTTCTGGATTTATTCCATTGTGGTTAGAGAACACATTGTCTGATTGCAATTCTTTTAAATTTGTTAAGCTTTATTTTATATGCCAGGATGGGGTCTATCTTGGTGAATGTTCCATGGGCTTGAAAAGAGTGGGTACTCTGCTGTGGTATGGAGTGTTCTACAAATTTCAGGTAGATCTGTTTGGCTGATGGTGTTGTTAAGTTCTTCTTATATCCTTCCTGATTTTCCAATTGTTCCACCAACTCTTGAGAGATGAGTGTTAAAGTCCACAACTGTAACTGTGGATTTGTCTACTTCTTGTTTCAGTTCTAACCGTTCTTCCCATATTCTGAAGCTCTGTTGTTTGCCGTATACGTACTGAGGGCTGCTATATTTTCTTGGCAGATTAACCCTTTCACTATTATGTAATGTTCCTCTTTGTCCCTGGTAACTTTTTTTGCTATGAAGTCTATCTTATCTGATATTAATATAATTAGTCCTGCTTTCTTCTGGTTAATGTTTGCATGGCATATATATAATTCTTTTTCCTTTCAACCTACTTATGTTATTATGTTTGAGTGAGTTTGGTGCAGACCAGAATAGAGTTGGATCATCTAAACAAATCCATGTGACTTGTCACTGTCATTTAGTTGGTATAATTAGATCATTATATTTACAGTAATTATTCATATAGGAGGACTTAAGTCTACCACTTTACTATATGTTTTCTGCTGTTCCTCCTGTTTTTTTGTTCCTCCATTTCATTCTCCTGTATTCTTATGGGAATAAACTTTTTAAAATTTTGATTTATAGAGCTTTTGAATATATCCCTTTGTACAGATCATTTTAGTGGTTCCTCTAGGTATTATATTTATATATGTAAATAATGATCTACTGATGTCAACATCTTAGTAGCTGGGATAAAATGTAGAACCTTTACTTCCTTTTGGGCTCCTCTACCCCCCACTTTAGACTATAACTCTCTTAAATATTTCCTCTATATGCACTGAAAACCACATCAGACAATAATTTTGCTTTAAGCATGTAATACAATTTAGAAAACTCAAGACAACAGTCTTTTATATCTCCTCATAGCTTACTTTTTCGGTTGTTCTTTCTCCATTCTTCACGTTCCAAATTTCCTTATCACTTCCTTTCTGAAGAACTTCCTTTTGCCATTTTTACTGTTACCAGTAGGCCTTCTGGTAACAAAGTTTTCTTTGATCTGAGAATATCTTCATCCCTGCAGGACACCTGCAGGATATTCTCACTAGGTATAGAATTCTGAGCTGATCGTTTTTTTGTTTTGTTTTGTTTTGTTTTCCCAACATTGAAAAAATGCTGTACCACTTCTTTCTGGCCTCCATGGCCGGGAAATCTGGTATCATTCAAACTTGTTTCCTTAGAGGGAACACATTTTTTTTTTTTCTCTCTAGTGGCTTTCAAAACTTCTCCTGTCTAGTTTTCTGAAGTTTGATTATGTGGCTTGGCATAGACTTCTTTGTGGTTATACAATTTGGAGTTCACTCCGCTTTTTCAATCTGTAGGTTTATTATCTTTCACCAAAACTGGGAAGTTTTCAACTATTATTTCTTGAAGAATCTTTTAGTTCTAGACTCTTTCTCCTCTCCTTCTGGAAGTCTACTGATATGAAATATTAAAAAAATAAAAATTTTTAAAAATGAAATATTCTATCTTTTGTTATTATCTCACACACTCTGTTCACTTCAGTCTGTTTTCTTTCTGTTGTCCAGACTGGGTAATTTCTATTGTTTTACCTTCAAGTTCACAGATTTTTTTTTTTTTCCTCTCTCACAGTCATTCTGCTATTGAGCCCATTCAGTGAGTTTTTATTTTGGTTATTACATTTTCTAATTCTAAAATTTCCCAATTGGATCTTCTTTCTGTCTTCTATTTCTTCATTGAGAACTTCTATTTTTTCTTCATTTTTTTTCAAGTGTGTCCATAATTGCTTGTTGATGGCTTATGTTATTGGGTGTATGGTAATTGTTTTAAACCTTTGTCAGTTAATTGTAATATCTGTGTCATCTTGGTATTGGCATCTGTTGATGGTCTTTTCTCACTCAGGTTAAGAATTTCCTTGTTCTCTGTATAACAAGTGATTTTCTTTCTTTTTTAAAAGATTTTATTTATTTATTTGAGAGAGAGCAAGCAAGAGAGAGCATGAGTGGGGGACAGGGAGGGCAGAAGAAGGACAAGGAGAAGTAGGCTCCCACTGAGCAGGAAACCTGATAAGGGGGGCTCCATCCCAGGGCCCCGGGATGATGACCTAAGCTAAAGGCAGCCCTTAACCGACTGAGCCACCCAGGTGCCCCAACAAGTGGTCTGAGGTATAATGTTGTGAAATTATGTATCCAATTTAATCTTCTTTTGCAGGCACTCTATTAGGTATAGTGTGCATGAACATGTGGTAGTGAATGTTCAGCTCCCCTCGGGACCTCACTGACATAACCCTGGCAGGGAAAGTGGAGTGCCAACTAGTGACACTACATAGCATCTCATTTTGCCTCTTTGCTGCTGGGTGAGGCCGTAAATTCAGCTTGCTGCTGGCCCCAGTGACACTGTGGGGAGGAAGAAGCAGTTTTTCTTTTGGTATTTGGCTGGAATAGGGTGATATAATCTGTTTTGCTAGGCTGCCCTTTTCCTGGTCCTTTAGCTAAAGGGGTCAGGGTTTTCTTGGGTTTGTTTTTGTTTGTAATTGGTTGGTGGATCTAGGTTGTAGGCTTTTCCAGAATGCCATCTGGGTCTCACGCCCTTGTCCTTCTTTTTTTTTTTTTTTTTTTTTAAATTTTTTTAGTTTATTTATTTGACAGTCAGAGATCACAAACAGGCAGAGAGACAGGCAGAGACAGAGGAGGAAGCAGGCTCCCCGCTGAGCAGAGAGTCCGATGCGGGGCTCGATCCCAGGACCCTGGGATCATGACCTGAGCCGAAGGCAGAGGCTTGACCCACTGAGCCACCCAGGCGCCCCTCCCTTGTCCTTCTTTAAGTCACCAAGATCCCTAGCCACTCCACCTTCTCCTGTCCACCCTCCAGGGTCTTCCTAAGTTTGTTTGTTGTATAATACCTGGACTTTTTTAGTTTTAAAAGAGAAAACTAGGGGTGCCTGGGTGGCTCAGTGGGTTAAAGCCTCTGCCTCAGCTCAGGTCATGATCGCAGAGTCCTGGGATCAAGCCCTGCATCTGGCTCTCTGCTCAGCAGGGAGCCTGCTTCCTCCTCTCTCTCTCTGCCTGCTTCTCTGCCTACTTGTGATCTCTGTCTGTCAAATAAATAAATAAAATCTTTAAAAAAAATAAAATATAATAATAAAAGAGAAAACTACTGAGGAATGGGGCTATTTCATCTTGACCTGGACTAGGAATTGTCATCAATACATTTTTTTTTTTTTTTTAGTTGGCTCCATGCCCAAGGTGGAGCTCAAACTTAAAACCTTGAGATCAAGAGTCAAATGTTCTACTGACTGAGCCGGTCAGGTGCCCTGCCATCAATACATTTTAAAACCGGGTTTATTTTCCCCCATTACTTATTGATCTATGATCTATCCTTGAGGTTTTTGGTTTTTTTTTTTTCTGTTTTTTGATAGACTGAGAGATAGATGGAAAGTGAGCGAACATGTAAGTGGGGGCTGGGAGGGCAGAGGAAGAGGGAAAGAGAGAACCTTAAGCAAGGTGTGGAGCCTGACCTCACAGCTCTGAGATCATGACCTGAGCCAAAATCAAGAGCCGGACGGTCAACCAACTGAGCCACCCAGGTGCTCCATCCTTCAGTTTTTCAGTCACTAGGTCCCCAAGTGCGTGATCTATTCTAAAGCCATTCTATCACTCATTTCGCAAGACATTCTTAGTTCTACATCAATATACCACAAGAAAGTGCTCTATTATGTTTTTAAAGTATGATTTCATTTGAGGAACTATACTGATAATGCTATGGTATACATTTAATTCTGCTTGTAAAGTAAATGGAAACAAATTATCACAGATGTTAGTATCTTAAAAGTGAAATCTGGAATTTGTACAAGAGGATAATTATTTTATTTAGAAGGAAGACCGTTATAGATTCTGAAAGCTTGATGCAAAAGGAAGCAACGTGGACCGCAGATAACAGAGGAAAGAGATCACAGCAGTGCTGTGCCATCCATAGGCACTCTAGGAAAGTTCTCTTTCCCGGAATATGGTCATCAGCCTTTCTAGTCATCTAAACCTACTGGATATTGGCTTGGAACAATGCACAAGTGGATGGCTGGCTAAAGAGAAAAGCTAGTTCTGGGACAGCTCGAGATGGCAAACACTGTTTGCATAGCTTTCCATGATAATTATTTTTCTAGGCTGCCTCTTGTATAGAGAATTATCCCCTTTGTCTCTACCTGTCTGATAAAAACATACACAGAAAACATAATAAGAACCAACATGACTACAAGGTCATAAGACCCAGTCTTTTCCCTGTAATTTGGAGTAAATGGTTTGTTGACAAATCATTTTAGAGAAATGGAAAAACACACTGGTACGGGATGTTTCACAATGTCCTTCAGAGAACTGGCTATATAGTGTGAACCAACAGCCCAAGGACAGAAAACCCCAAAGTAAGGGGAATTAATACCATGCCACACAAGGGGAATCATTTCTCTAACTCACCAGTCCCCAAAGGGAGCCTTCCGAAGTGGCGACAATAGTAGCAGCTCTCGGGGTGTTGTACATCAGAGCAAGTTCTCCAAAACTGCCATGGTTGTCATACTGACCGACAGAGCGAGTTTCATTATCTTTTGTTACTAAAATATCATAGGTTCCCCTGGAAGTGTAACAAGAAATAACTTCATTTATTATTTCTAATAACAAATTTTAGACCTGGCAGGTGGTTCAGAAATAGAAGGTACATATGATATAAAACAGGCAACTTCCAAAAGATTTTTGCTGGTATAGAGAAATATAAGAGATTTTGCATTTTGACTTTGTATTCTGTGACCTTGCTAAACTCACATATCAGTTCTAACAGCTTTTTTGTAGCTTGGGATTTTCTAGGGAGAATCAGGTCATCAGCAAACAAAGATAATCTTAGTTTTTCTTTTGCGATCTATATGCCCTCCCTCTTCCTGCCTCCTTTTTCTTCTCTTTTTTTCACTGCGTTATTGCACTGGCCAGGACCTACAGTACAATACTGAATAGAAGTAATGAGAGCAAATATCCCTGTCTTGTTCTTGATTTTAAGGGGAAAATGGTCGATCTTTCACCATTAACTATGATGTTAGCCATAGGTTTTAAAAAAAAAATTCCTTTAATCTGATTGGTGAAAAACCACATCTATTCCTAGTTTACTGAGAGTTTTTACATTGAAAAGGTATTTAATTTTGTCAAATGTTTTTCCTGAAGCGATTCAAATGACTGTATGGGTCTTCTTTTGTAGTTTGTTGAAAACTAGGATAGAGATAAAATAAAGAAATCAAAAGGTACAATATTCTACCTATTAACTGGTAATGACTGCTAAAGAATAATATTCAGAACTGACAACATTTAGAGAAACAGGCACTCTAAATAACCACTGAGGCAAACTTAAATACATCAATGTTTCTGCAAGATAATTAACAAAATATAACAAATTCCTTGGGGTGCCTGGGTGGCTCAGTGGGTTAAAGCCTCTGCCTTCGGCTCAGGTCATAATCCCAGGGTCTTGGGATCAAGCCCCGCATCGGGCTCTCTGCTCCACAGGGAGCCTGCTTCCCACCAACCCCCCGCCTACTTGTGATCTCTGTCAAATAAATAAATAAAATCTTTTAAAAAAAATTCCTCAAAGAGACCCTTTACCAGTGATGGTATTTCTAGGCATTCTATAGGAGGTAATCTGGTGAGGGTGGTTCCTTTCAGGTCTGAGAGGGGGTCAGAAGGAGCCCCCAAGACAAGAGTAACGGCTCAAGAACTTGAGACACACTAAGGCCAGCAGGTCAAACCCACATATTTCATGTCTCCCAACATGGCTTACACCTGGAACAGAGCTAAGGCAGTATATTCATGTGTAAAATTAGGCTGGGACTGAAAGATCCAGATGACAATATAGCAAAATGGCTTCTTGAACACTGGCAAATAATTATAAAGCACATCTTGCCTAATTGTAAAGGAGAATCTTCTTTTTTTTTTTTTTTAAGATTTTATTTATTTATTTGAGAGAGAGACAGTGAGAGAGAGCATGAGAGGGGAGAGGGTCAGAGGGAGAAGCAGACTCCCCGTGGAGCTGGGAGCCCAATGCGGGACTCGATCCCGGGATTCCGGGATCATGACCTGAGCCGAAGGCAGCTGCTTAACCAACTGAGCCACCCAGGCGCCCCAAGGAGACTCTTTAATATTGATAATGGCAACCCAAATATGGGTTTTACTGAGGACTGAGGACGGCACTAGATGTTGGGGGCAGGCTGTGGACAGAGAGGGACAAGCGCTTTTTTTTTTCCCCCCTTCTTGAAATCTTTTTTTTTTTTTTTAAAGATTTTATTTATTTATTTGACAGAGATCACAAGTAGGCAGAGAGGCAGGCAGAGAGAAGAAGGGAAGCAGGCTCTCTACTGAGCAGAGAGCCCGATGTGGGGCTCAATCCCAGGACCCTGGGATCATGACCTGAGCTAAAGGCAGAGGCTTTAACCCACTGAGCCACCCAGGTGCTCCTTGAAATCTTTTTATTAAGAGAAGTTCTTGGGGTGCCTGGGTGGCTCAGTTAAGCACCCAACTCTTTTTTCCCCCTTTTTAAAACTTATTTTTATTTAAATTCAATTAATTAACATATAATGTATTATGGTTTCAGAGGTAGAGGTCAGTGATTCATCAGTCTTATATAATACCCAGTGCTCAATACATCACATGCCCTCCCTTAATGTCCATCACCCAGTTACCCCATTCCCCCAACCCCTTTCCCTTCCAGCAACCCTGTTTGATTCCTGTGATTAAGAGTCTCTTATGTTTTATCTCCCTCTGTGATTTTGTCTTTTTTCCTCTCTTCCCCTATGATCCTCTGTTTATTAAATTTCACATATGAGTGAGGAGAGGGACAAGCTTTAAGAAGCTTGCACACCTGGTCCTAAGTCCTCTCTGGGCTGAACAAAGCACAGGTTGAGGTACATGCCCTGCATTATGAATCTCATTAAGGGTAGCCACACATCTGCAAAGCTCCATCTCCTACCGTTCTATGACATAGAAGTTATCTCCATCATCTCCTTGGTCGATGACATGCTCATCAGCTTTGACTGTCCTTTCAAACATGGCATCAAGGACTTGAGACAGTTGTTCCTGTGGGTATACACACGAAGAGAGAAGATGGCTTTGACATTTGCTGGGGAAAAAATGACTATGCTTATCTCTGTCTGCGATTACATAGTGGAAGTACATGTATCAGACTGTTCTCCATATTCAAGCAAAATCCCTAAATTAGTTGTTGGAAACAAACGTTTTCCTCTGGCCATTCAGCTTTGTACCCCCATGAACACAGCACAGTTGCTGAGGTTTTTTTGAGGCAGTAGAGCTTTAAACAACATTCCATAATCTATGCAAAAACAGGCATCTAAGTCATGGTGTGCCTCCTCCTAGTCGCACCCACATGACTGTCAGGTGTGCCTTGATGGCTCCGCTGTGTCATCTGTAAAGCCATGTGATGTCGCCTTCCTACAGGTGTTGATCTTAACAGGATCATCAAATCTAAAGGGCAGGGACGAGAAGTTACCTCACAGAGAGGCACAACTGCTCTGACTAGCCATGCGCATCACTGAACCTCTCTGAGCCCCCGTTAATTCATACTTTAAAAAGCATTTAATAGTTTCTAGCTCATTAATTTTTATGACTACAAAAGAAAAATCTAAGGGAAGTATCACACAAGGGGACTCAAAAACTGACATTAATGGACAGCTACTACTGCTTCAAACATGTATATACAACACATACAATTACTTACTTATCACTACCTGCTCTAACAGGAAGGTAACTAACTATACTGGTAAGTACAGTGAAAACAAAACAATGCTATTAAATTTTAACAAAACAGTGGTCTCAGTCTAGGGCCAGCATCCTGTCGGGGAGGGAGAGCAGTGACTGTCAGGGGGTACTAATGAATACCAGCTTCAGCTCAAAGAACGACTTTCTGCTTGGAAGAATGTGGACCGCAGATGTGGCAAGGAAAAACTTTACTGCCGCATAATTCCATGTGATTTAGTGTCTGTCAGTGTGACGGTGCTACCTAAAATAACTGAGTGTCACTAAAAGCATCTCTAGTTCCATACTTCCATGTGTGTTGAATGCTGTACAAGATGAGAAATACTAAAAAGGAAGTGACAGTCACATGCATTCCAAACTCACATGGAATGTGAGCCCAGTGTTGCCAGAAATCTCATGTTCAAATACAGGTAACAATTCAAATTTTCATGTACAATACAGACCAAACACACACTAGTTGTAACTGGCCTGTGGGCTGTCCACTGGCAGCCTCACATTCTTAGTAATTCTTCTTTTGGTCTGGACTCTTCAAAAACATCAGTGTTATAAGATATAGAGTGAGGTGTGAGGGAAGGATTCTAGGTTGGAGGTGACTAAAATGACACGATGACAAGTAAAGGCAATGTGTGATTCAGGACTGGAAAACAAAACAAAAAAGCTGTAGAGAACTGGGAAAATCTGAATATGGAGTGGGTGTTATATAACACTACTGTACCACTGTTACTAATGGTCTTGTGCTAATGTAGGAGAATAACCTCATTCTTAGAAAATACATCTTAAGGTATTTAGTGGCTAAGTGTCAAGAAGTCTTAAACATATTCATAAATGGCTCAGAATAAAAGAAAAAAAAGCAGTTCACCTGTACTTATGTGTGTGGACATACACACACGAGAGAAAAAAAATGTGACAAAATGTTAACAACTGGTCAGTCTAGGTAAGGGCACATGAGGGTTCATGGTATTATTCTTTTGACTTTTTTGTAAATTTGAAAATTTAAAACCTGAAATGTGGGCAATAAATTTTTATTTATTTATTTTTATTTCTGTTTTTTTTTTTTTTTTTAAGTAAGCTTTACACCCAATGTAGGTGTAAATAAATTTTAAAAAACGAAATACACTCACCAGAATGGTTAAAATTGAAAAGATAGACACTATCAAATGATGGAGCAACTGGGAATCTCATATATTGTTGAAGGAATGAAAAATGGCACAACTGCTTTGAAAAAGATCTGGCAGATTTTTATAAACTCAAACATATACCTACCCTATGATCCAGCAATTCTGCCCTCGGGTATTTTACTGGAGCAATCAGGAAAAAAAATTCACAAAAAGACTTGTACAAAATGTCCACAGCATTATTCATAAGCACTAAAAACAAGAAATAGTTTGGCCTGGTATCCATCAACAGGAAAAAAAAATGGATAAGCAAACTAGTATTTTCATATAATGGCACAACACTCAGCAACAAAAATGAATGAAGTAACATCACCAGCAATAAGGCCTACTGACATCACGGACCTCTTGATATGATGCCCTCAGAAAGAGACAATGTAATTTCTGTAGCAGTCAAGCCAAGAATGTATGTCCATAGTCCAGTGATGATGAAATATCAGACAAATCCAAATTGAGGTACTTTCTATAAAATAATGAAGCGATACTCTTCGAAGTGTCAAGATTATGAAAGACCAGAAAGGACTGAAAACCATGACAAAATGAAGAGAAATAAGAACTAAATGCAATGTGGGGTTCTGGATTAGATCCTTAAACCAGAAAAAAGGTTTGCAGTTTAACTAGTAGTATTATAACAATGTTAATTTCCTGGTTTTACTCATTGTTCTATGGTTATGTTAAGATGTTAATACCAGGGGAAGCTGGATGAAGGGTATATGGGAAATGTGTACTATTTTTGCAGCTTTCTTGTCAGTCTAAAATGAATTCAAAATAAAAAGTAAAAAAGGAAACGGAATGAACTACTGATACATGCAACAGGCATGAACCTCAAAAACTATGCTGAGTGAAAGAAGTCTCACACAAAAGAGTGCCTATAGTATAATTCCATTTATATGAAATCCTAGGAGAACCAAAATTAATTTATTATAGAATAAATCAAATTAGTAGTTGCCTCTGAGAGGAGGGGGGCCAGAACCGTTCACAAGGGGGCACGAAGGAATTTTTTGGGGTGGTGGCAATGTTCTGTAACCTGTTGGGGAGTTCAGATTACCGAAGTGCATACCTTTCTCAAACCTCAGTGGACGCACTTAAAACTCAGGCATTTCACTGTATACAAACTTTGTATCAAAAAACTGTAAACAAATACTGAACTCTAGTTCCATGATATGCATGCCAAAGTTCTTGAAGGAAGGTATAATGATATCTGAAACTTACTCTGAAATGAACCCAAAAAAGTAAGATGGGTTAAGGCAGAGGCCAGCAAACAGCTGCCTGTTGTGGTAAATAATGTTTTACTGGACACAGCCACACCCTTTCATTTATGTACTGTCTGTGGCTGCCTTCCTGCTGCAATAACAGACTTGAGTAGTTGTGACAGACATTTACTACTTTGTTCTTTAAGAAAAAGTTTACTGACCTCTTTGCTGAAAGATGGGTAGTTATTCTCCTCTAACAAGCACAGTAAAATGTTAATCGTAGAATCAAGGCAGTGGATAAATGTGTGTTCTGCAGAAGTCTTCCAACTTTATTGTATTTGAGTATTTTGGTGACAAAAATGTTAGAAAAAAATCACTACATCTGACATTTTAGTTATGAATAAAATGGTAAAATGGTTTTCTTCAACACTAAGAAAACTGAATATTAGATTGACACAGCAACTTCCTTAGAACATCTGATGATACAAAATTTACAAGGGGTTTTTGTTCAGTAGGTAAAAGCAAATTTTCTTTACACTGATACAGATGGATCTTCTAGGGAAAACAGGAGATACAGACCAGTATTTCTCAAAACCAGCCTTTCCTTGAGATCATGGTCCTTGTTTTATTCACCTGAGACTAACAAAACTGACTAAAGTTCTGGCTATTCTTATAACCACGCAGCTACCAAACAGACTAGTTTATAGATATCAGGGATGGTTGTGAGGATGTCATTAAAAGGCTTCTTTGCAGGAGTTGGGTAGGAAGGGAACGTTAACCTCATCCTTCTTGTCTCTGCACATTCTAGGATTCTCCAGGAGGCCCCGTACCTCATCCACTCATGCAGCTTCAGCATGTGGCTCTCAAAGTAGAGAAGTAATGAAATCTGAAGAATCTCTATGCTCGTGAGGTAGCCCCTGCTCTCCATCTCCACCCAAGGGAGGGAAGACAGGTCCAAGCACAGATCCTATACCAGAGCCCTGCAGTCACACACCACTCCCCATGTCTGAGGTCTTTGCTGAGAAGTAATCACAAGACATGTCCCACATCTAAGGCCCGAGAAGTCACACACCTCCAGTGGGTTAACTGTGACCAGAGAAGAGAACTCCATAACTAGCACCTTTGGAGAAATTACTCTGCAGCATAAATTCAGACCCTCCAAACTAAGCCAGGGTCACATGAACGTGAACATTTCCTTTTAACACGACCAAACTGCATGGTCCTCAAATGGTATATTCTCGGAGGAAGTACCAAAGCAGTTCAGAGAAATACTAGAAGTCATCTGAAAAGCTCATTATGAGTTATGATTGTCAACACAATGCAAACATCTGTAAGTAGAATGATTCTAAAGTTTTATGCCTCATACAGCTGAGGCTAAGATAATAAAAACTGTTTGAATGACAAATAGGAGAAAAGCTGAAAGACAAAAATACTCTTAAAAACCAACGTTACCTGATCAAGATTTTTGAAAAGGAGAATATCTTTGCAAGCCTCCTGAAGTCTGCATCTCTGTTGATCAGTTTTAGGATGAATCACCTGTCAAGCCAAATGAAACCAGGGAAATATTTTTATTCCATTTTAAAATTTGACTTTACTTACAGATCGGTACATTTCTTTCTCCTAAAAAGTGGGGGAAATTAAGAGCATGTTCACTATGACTTTAATTCTATACAAATACCAAGCAGGGCCCTGACCATGGTGGGGCACTGGGATGGGGGCAGAGCTCTCACCCTGGGGCCACTCACTGACCCTGTGACTGGCAACAAGTAAGCTACCCCCAGGGAGCCTCAGCATCCTCATCTGTGAAGCGGAGGGCTATTGATTGGTTCACTCAACAGATATTAAGCATCTACTAGGTGCCAGGCACTGTTTCATGTCTGGGGACATGGCGAACGCACAGATAAAAAAACCTGCTCTCATCCAATAAATCTGTAAAATATGTTAGAGAGTGACAAGGCCAAGGAGAAAAATAAGGTAGGGAAGGGTGATTTAAAAAAAAAAAAAAAAAAGAGTGTTTGTGTGTGTGGAGTGGGCAGATGAGGCCTCACTGAGGTGACATCTGTGTAAAGATCTAAAGGAAATGAGGATGACCTGAGGGAGTGGGTCATGTGGACATCTCCATGGGAAGAGCACCTCGAGCAGAGGGAAGAGTAAGTGAAAACAAGGCCCTGTGGCAGGTGAAGAGCATGTCTGAGAAAGAACCAGGAGATGAGTGTGACTCAGGCAGAGCATGGGCTAAAAGGTCAGGAAGAGACCAAGTTGGGTTAGGTGAGGGTGATGCAGAGGGCACTGAAGGTCACAGAACTACAAGTTTTCCCTAGTCACATGGGGGCAATCTGAAAGCTCTGACTGAGGAATAAGAAAGATGTGACCAAAGTCTTTAAAGGCTCATAATGGCTACTAAGTGAAGAACAGCCTTGAGGGAAGCAAAAGTGGAAGCCAGGAAACTACCATGATTATTCCAGTGCCAGATGGTGGTGGTGAGGACTGGCAGGGGAGGTAGCCATGGAGGTGCTGAGACAGTAGAATGCTGGATATGTTTTGAAGACCGAGCCCACTGGGTTTGCTGGAAAACTGAACATAGGTATGAAAACAGTAAGAGGAGCTGAGGGTGACCCTCAAGTTTTGGACCTGAGCCCTTGGAAGGATGGAAATGCCATGAATTGAGCTGGGGAAGACTGTGGGTGGAGAAGAACGTAAAGGGAAATCATCAGGAGCTCCCGTTCAGCGTGAGTTGCCTACTGAAATCTAAGTGGAGGTGGCAAGTAAACAACGGCTGCGCGTGCCAGACTTCAAACATCCACACTTTAGTAGAAGTAGTGGTGCCTCTGCTAAATGAGTCGTCAGAAGGATTATGTAAGTTATACATGCAGTATGTAAAACAGTACCCGGTATTTAGCAGGTGCTCAAAACCTGTCATTATTTGTACTGTTACTGAATAGTTCACTGAACTAAAAAAAATAATTAGTGCTTAGTATTGCTGTTATAATTCGGAGATTACCTGAAAAGATATACCTAAAAAGAAGTATATTTCTTAATCTGATGAGAAAAAACAGAGGTCAAAGGATTAAGTGTTTTAAATTTGTAATATTAAAAAGTTAGTAAAAAACTGCTTTAATTTTTTTGGTTGGGGGAGGGCCGAGGGGGGAGAAGAGAGGGAATCCCAAGCAGACCCCGCACTGAGCATGGAGCCCAATGCAGGGCTCCATCTCATGACTCTGAGATCATGGCCTGAGCTGAAATCAAGAGTTAAGTTAACTTCCTGAGCCACCCAGCTGCCCCTCCCAAAAAACTGCTTAACTGCTTTAACTTTTAAAAGTCATCACGAATTTTATAATATCCAGAATAAATTTTTTAAATTTACATATCTATTATATTCACACAATGGTAGCATTTTATTATTAGAATGCTTCAGAAGTCTTTCATGGGCTGCTCATTTTAAGGCATACTTGAAAGATCATTAAAGCTTCTTTTATAATATCAATCTTTTAAAAATGGTGGTTCAGATACACTTTTATAAAAATAATTTGGTAACTGTACAAAAGTTTAAAAAAAAATCTGAGTTTTTAAGAGAAGATCAAAAGTGAACCGTAGTGGGGCGCCTGGGTGGCTCAGTGGGTTAAAGCCTCTGCCTTCGGCTCAGGTCATGGTCCCAGGGTCCTGGGATCAAGCCCCACATCGGGCTCTCTGCTCGGCAGGGAGCCTGCTTCCCCCTCTCTCTCTGCCTGACTCTCTGCCTACTTGTGATCTCTGTCTGCCAAATAAATAAATACAATCTTTATAAAAGAAAAAAAAAGTGAACCGCAGTCCTGCCACAACCACTATTAATATGTGGGATATAATCCCTCCAGAAATAATTCTTTGTACTAATGACTACTAGACAGATGGATAAATATATATATACATATATATATATATTTTAAAGTTTATTTACTTTTTTAAGTAATCTCTATACTCAACGTGGGGCTCAAACTCACAACCCTGAGGTTAAGTATTACCTGCTCTTCCAAATGAGTCAGCCAGACACCCCAGATAAATTTTTTAAATTATTTTTTATTTTAGAAAATGACTGCAAATTCTCTTGATTTGAGTGTACCATAATTTAGCCTCTGGCAATCCCCTATTTGGGGGCATCGTTCCCATTTTTACCATGATGACACTGTGATGATCTCTGTTTATACATCCTCAGAAAGGATCCAGCTGCGTGTTAGGGATGACTTCTTCAGGTAATAGCTGAAGTCAGTTGGCTTGACTGTGTTTAAGGCTTTGAGAGCTACAGCTAGGTACCCCATCTTACCATAACCTCAACCAGTCCTGCTTTCATTCTTCTTAATATCTGTCATTCTGGCAGATTAAAAAAATAGCATCTTGTTGAGGATGTAGATGAGGAGAAGGGGAGTGAGTGGGGAATAAACAATTCTACCTAAGGCCTTCACAGCAGTTCTTACCCTTGGATCAGTATCTTCCTCTTCCTCATCAGGGTTATAGGTCTCAGCACACACTAAATTTGGAGAGAAAAACACAAAGAGAAAAGTGAATAAAACATGTGTACTTTTACTGGAAAAATAGGAAATGAACACAGTTTCCTGTTATTCACTGTTTTCTAAAACTATAATGATTTTTAAAGCCCTCTCATCAATTAATAAATACATTAAGTACCTACTCATGCCAGGAATTCTATTAAGTGCTAAAATGCCAGCTTTCTAGGGATTGGTAGTCCCAAATAGGAGAGAGCTGGTAAAATATATTATAGAGTAAATCCTACAGTAGTGGCAAGGACAAGCAAGGAGGTGTTGTCTCTGTTCAATTTTTACTCAGGGGTGCAAAACCAGAAAGTGTAATATATGCAATATCACATGGATATGGATATGAAATAGTTATGAAAAAATTATGAATTAACTGTGAAATAATTATTATTTCTAAACACACGGATATGAAATAATTATGAAAAGAATTACAAAATTATTAAAAGAAAAATTGCTGGACATCATTTTGTACATGAAAGACTTAAAAATAAGAATGAATTTTAAACAAAATGAATACTATGTGTCAGTTTTTGTTCTGGGTACAATATTATATAAATCTAAAATCAACTCGATTTTCTTGTAGGTAGCCTGTGTTTTTTGTGCTTGGCTGCCTGCAGGACTTGTCTCTGTTGCAATTCAAAGGTTCAGAAAATATTCACTGAACATCTGTTTATAACAGCAAAATATCAGAAATGACTGAACTACCCAAAAATATGATATAAGTAACTATTTGAATAATACACTATAAGAAAGAATGAGGAAGATCTCCAGGGGCTGATAGTTGAGTTCTAGGGAAAAATAGTAAGGTGGAGCATATAAGCTATCACTTCCATAAGAAAGGACTTCTATGAGAAAGGAGAGCTAAGAAGAAGGGAAAATAAATATATAAATATGAATATATATATACAAAAGTTTTTTTTTTTAACCTATTTTTCCAAAGGGAAACAAGACAAGGATGAACCAGGAAGTTAGCAGGCAAGGAATGCAAATGGTTCTCAACCCTACACTCAATGCATTCATGTGACGGCTAACAACTAGGGGACAAACTGATACCGACTGCTCTCAATTTAACTCCTCGATTCTTAGACACATTTACTCACTGCAGCCTTGGTCTAGCTGCATCCCAGCTTCTCTTTCCGACTGATTCTCTGAACTTGTGAAATATCTGAGAAATGGTATGTCATGTAGACAGGAGTCCCGTCCCTGCCTAGCCTACAGTACTCTAGTGAGGGCCACACCTCCTGTAGTGTAATGCCATCAATACTCTGCCCATCCAACAGGGATCCAACATCCTTACACAGAGAAAAATTGGGGGTGTGTGTGCCTGGGTGGCTCAATTGGTTAAGCAACTGCCTTCGGCTCAGGTCATGATCTCAGGGTCCTGGGATTGAGCCCTAAATCAGGCTCCTTACTCAGCGGGAAACCTGCTTCTCCCTCTCCCTCTGCCTGCCGCTCCACCACTTGTGCTCTCTCTCTCTCTCTCTAACAAATAAATTTTTTTTTAAATTATGGAGAAGGGATTTAAGAGGCCAAATACCATTCTAGTCCCTAAAACAGCATCAGGTGATGTTCTGCAGGATGGTATGCCTAGTCCCTGGCTGGTCCAGGCTTTGGGTGGCTGAGCCAGGGAAGTGACAACAGGATGTAAATAATGTCACACCAACTTTCTCCAAGTCATTCCTGATTCTGCAAGATGAGGTCAGCTACATTTATCTCAGATCTGTCCTAATGATTAAGACACAAACCTTCTTCCCTGCTCAGTGGGGAGCCTGCTTCTCCCTCTCCCTCTGCTGCTCCCCCTGTATGCGCTCCTGCACTCACTCTCTCCCTCTCTCTCCTTGCCACGCTCTGAGGAAGGAGGAAGTAAGGAGGAAACTGCATTGATACTTAAACTGCAAGCCTCTTACACTGTTGGTGGGACTGCAAGTTGGTGAGACACTTTGGAGAACAGTGTGGAGATTCCTCAAGAAATTAAAAATAGAGCTTCCCTATGACCCTGCAATTGCACTATTGTGCTTTAAACAAAAATAGTTATTTCCAGTAAAATTATTATGAATATTTCTATTTGCAGAAAATCATTATTTTATTTTTCAAAACTGCTTTTGAATTTTACCCTCTTCTTTTGAACTCCAGATTCACCTTCGTTTGCCTCTTCCCTCTGTTTCCACCCAACCTCTCTACTCTTCCTAGTCTTGATCCCAAATCACTTTTCTCATCTTTCATGTAAAAATCCATCTTTAACTGTCTCGGTGACTATTGCCCCAGAGTTTGTGCGATCGCCTGTGAAGCCTCAAGAACTACACTAAACGGCATGAGATGCTTAAACCTACTGAAAATGAAGACTGAAAGAGGAGCACAATCCCTTGTTCCAAGGAACTTGTCTTGCCACAGTTCTCCAGCAGATGTCACTGGTCAGCAACATGAAACTGCACAAAGTGACAAGAAACCATCCAGCACAATTTCTTCTGAATTTTAACTGATGCTTCTGTCATCCAGAAATGTATCATTTTTAAAAAGATTTTATTTTTAAGTAATTCTACACCTAATGCGGGGCTCAAAGTCACAACCCTGAGATCACGACTTGCCCACACCACTGACTGAGCCAGCCAGGTGCCCCCAGAAATGTGAATCATTAAAATGTGCTGGTGAGAGAAAACTCCTTCATTTCTACAAAGAAACAAGCACAGAACCCAGTCACAGCCTGAGGCTCTATGCTCTTCTGCTAGCTCTCATGACAAGTTGACTCAGCCTATGCGTATTAGTCAACCTGGGCTGCCATAACAATATATCCAGCTGAGTGGTTTAAAGAACAGAAATCTATTTTCTCACAGTTCTGGAGGATGGAAGTTCAAGACCAAGGTACTGGCACGTTTGTTTCTCCTGGGGCCTCTTCACTTGGCTCATGGGTAGCTGCCCTCTCACTGTGTCCTCACATGGCCCTTTGTCTCTGTGGTGGACTCTTGGTGTCTCTTCCTCTTAGAAGGAAACCAGTCCTGTTAGATTAGAGCTCCACCCTAATAACCTCATTTAACCTTAACTGCCTCCTTATTTTAAAGGCCCTTTCTCCAAATACAGTCATATTGGGGTTAGGCCTCACGCAGGAATTTGAGGGGGATGCAATTCAGTATGTAACACTGGGTTTCTAAATTATTTTCAGTAATGTTTGGTCATATTTCACTGGAAGATAGCTGCTGGTGGAAAAAAATACTGAATACTGTGAAAGGATAGCAAGACAAAAATCAGTATTTCAGTCCACTATAGCATGTTCACCTTAAAAGGCAGGGAAACCTGGGGAAGGAAGAGCACCTACCATGCAGACATGAGTGCCTGCCACAGCCCCAGAGTCTCAGCAGACTCTACTGACTTGTCAGAGTCATCACCAGAGTCAGACACTCGCTGCCCAAATGTGGCATGATGTCAACACACAACTTCTGATTAAAATGCTTTGAAGCGTCGCACGTATTTAATAAAAGAAAGGGTTTTCTGGGGATGATATTTTTTAATTAGCAGAATCAGACTAACATTTCAAACTCAGACAGTTAATACTACTTTAGGACTATTTCAAGAAAGGTGCCTTTAAAGAATTTATGAACTCTCTTCATTTAATGAATTTATCACATGATATAGGACTGTTCTGCTAGAACTTAAATGTGGAAGGCACAGCTTTTCAATTCCATTGCTTTGCAATGACGAGACAGCATCAAGGAGGGGAGAGCTCATCTCTGAAGCCACTACATGCACTGGTGTCTGAGCTTGGACTCACCCACCACTCTCTCACTATTTCTGTGTGTCCTAGATCCTAGGTCTGTCACTTCAGGGGCAAGAGGGTGTAATAAACTAAAATCATGTAGAAGATTAACAATAGGAGGGGACATTTACAACACTGGGCTGAGGGGCACCTGGATGGATCAGTCAGTTAAGCATCTGACCCTTAATTTCAGCTCAGGACCCTGAGATTGAGCCCCTCATCAGGCTCCACACTCATTGGGAAGTCTGCCTGAAATTCTCCCTCTCCCACTCCCCCCTCAAATAAATAAATAAAAAAGATTGTATTTATTCATTTGATAGAGAGAACAAATATGCACAAGAGGAGCAAAGGGAGAGGGAGAAGCAGACTCCCCGCTGAGCAGGGAGCCCAAAGTGGGGCTCGATCCCATTCTAGGATCATGAGCTGAGCTGAAGGCAGATGCTTAGTCAAGTGAGCCACCCAGGCACCCTAATAAATAAATCTTAAATAAATAAATTAAACACAGGGCTGGGCTCACAGGAGATACCCAACAACTGCTACCTCTTTTATGATGCTTTATGTTACGGACTATTAGTCAGACATGCTGAGTTGCTGTTGGAGTCTCTGGCACAGCACATGTCCTCACGCAGCTAGCTATTGCAGAAATCCTTGGATCACATAAGGAGCACCATTCCCTACCTCTCTTACCAATCTTACTTCATCTCCTCACCCCCAGCCAGAACAGCCAGATCCAGTTCACCCCCGTTCGAGTCTTAAGACATTCTTTCACCTAGAATGCACTCTTTTTGGTACTAGCCAAACGGTAACCATGTTTTACAAAGTCCGGGGCAATTTCTGCCTCCCTGAAAGAAGGGTCTCTTGACTTCTTTTTCTGCCCACAGTAATTTCTCCTCTTGATTCCTGATCCCTTCTTTTGTTCCTTTCTTCTATCCATCCATCCACATTTACTGAGATTGTTCTAAGTGTTAACCGTATGCATCAATGAACAAAATGGACAAAACTTCTCTGCCTGATTGGAGCTTACACTCTAGCATATGGAACTAGGTAACAGGACAAATAATTTAGGAGGAAGACAGCACAAGAGAGACAGGAGAAAATAAAGTGAGGGAGATAGGGTGTGTGTGTGTGTGTGTGTGTGTGTGTGTGTGTATGTGTGTGTGTGTGTTGGGTCTTAATCAAGACCTGAGAAAGTGTCTTTCAAATGAAGGTCTGAAGGATGTGCATAAG